TTTTTTTTTTGTTTATGATCCAACATAATTTAATTTTTAATTAATTAAAACTTAATGTGGATTTTGAATACCGAGACTATAATTAAAAAAAATAGAGAGGTTTCACAAAAAGGAAATTCAAAGAGACTTGCCGGGCAACTATGGTTTTTATAATTAGAAAAAATGGAGAGGTTTCACAAAAAGGAAATTCAAAGAGACTTGCCGGGCAACTATGGTTTTTATTTTGAAATGCATGTATATGTTGGGGTTTTACTTTTGGCTCTCTAATCCTTCAGCTTTTGGAAAAAGGAAAACTAAGGGTGTGGGTTCCTTAACAGTGGAAAAGCACTTCGATTCCTTCGAGTCTTTTTATCTTTGATAAAACGAGGAATAAGTTTAGATTCCTGCTACATATTCTCGAACCCACATTACAAGACGGATTTTATCTATGCTACATAAATCCTTTTTTTTTTTTTTTTGATCGGCTATGCTACATAAATCCTTAATGTCTGCCACATTGTGAGTATCACAATACACTTCAATTCCATTGGAATACAATGAGAAATTCTATTTAGTGGCCATTACGCCATTGGAAGCCACCCTTTTTTTCTTTGGATACAAGTTAAATATTGACGAAGATAAAGATGTTTAAAAAATTCTGTCATACTTAATTATTATTAACTAGTTGAGCAATATTTTAAAATGTTTTTTTCTTATATTTTTAGGCATAATTAAAATATAGTATATTATTTATACTTAAAATATATAAATAAAATATAAATTTAGTATAAAAACTTACATAAATTTTTTTGAACAATTTACAATTTAAAAAAAATTTTAAGGTATTGATGAGATTCAAAACCTTAATCAATTAACTTAAACACCTTAAAATTTAAAAACAAACCATTTAAATCCAAAGACTGATTCAAAAAACATACATACAATTACACGAACTCCTATTTTAAAAGTCACGTGGATGTTATTAGCTCTAGAATTTGGGATATCAATGGAGGTTTTGGTGAGATAATTTTAACTGGTATTCGAATATTGACCATCTTGGATAAATAATGACATGGATTTTGTATTTCCCGAGGTCAATTTTGTATTTTTGGACCTGGGGATCCACTTAAAATCGTGTTTGAACTTCATGCGACATAAACGTTTAAAATAATATTAGATTGTGATGACAAAAATCTCAGCACGATGTATTAAAGTCAAAACTAATTACTAGTAATAGATTGAGCATCTAAGAATTTGCGTAGATTTCAATTTGAAAATTATTAACATACTGAACCTTTAGTTTAGGCCGTCTCAAGGATAATATTAAAAAAAGAAAAATAAGCACTGCTTTTTTCAACCCCCTCAAATCATAAAATTGTATGCAAGCACCATTTTTTAGTTAGATGTTGTTTGATAGTATTTTTTGATGTTTCAAATTTTTATTTTTATGGCTTTGATTATTTTTAAATTATA